TTGAAGCACTTTCGAAGTGTTCAGCGCTGGGAAGCTTCCACCACATCTTTGAAGGTGTAGAAACCCTTGGCCGCAGCCACTGCATCCAATGGATTTACCTTCGAGAACATGTTGTTGGTGACGCTGGAATCAACGACGCCGGCCATGGAATTGTACACATCCATCACGGTCGACTTGGGCACAGATGCCACCAAGCGCCCAATGGCTGCATTCACAGCTTCGTAGTCAGCTGCGGAAGTCACGCCGCTGGCATCAATGCTGCCAATGGCCTTGTGGTGTGCCTCTGCGGCTGCCTTCAAGAGGTTGCCATCCATTTTGGCGCCCATCACGATCATCTTGTCAATGGCTTGCAGCGTCTCTGGGGCAGTCTTGCCAGGCAGCGGCTTCAGGTAAATGTCCGACAGCCAATCGATGTCTTTGATGAAAGGATAGGAAGCATCGGACAACGCTTTTGCAGCTTCACCAATTTTGTCTCCAGAAGGCACAACTGCTGGAGCACTGGCTGTGATCACCTGGTTCTTCTCAACAACATCCTTGAATTGCAGGAATCCTTCGTAGGCCTTTTCGGCATCGGGACCGTTCACCAAGGACTTCATGTAAGCTGGCACTCCAGGATCTGTGATGTCCTTCACTGAATCGTAAACGGCCATGACCTTTGCTTTGGGGACCGAAGCGACTACACGGCCAATGGCTGCGTTCACGGCATCCCAGTCAGCACGCGAAGTAACACCATTTGGCCCACTGATGCTTCCGATGGCCTTGTGATGTGCTTCTGCTGCCTCTTTCAGAAGCTTGGGATCTGCAGCTGCCCCCATTTCGATCATCTTGTCAATGGCAGTCAAAGCTTTCAAGGGCTGAAACGCGCCGGGGGCCTGCAGGAAAATGCCATTGTTCCAGTCCACTTCCTTGGCAAAGGAGTAGGAAGCATCCCCAAGCTTCTTTGCAGCATCGCCGATCTCATCAGCAAAAGCCGCAGGAGCCATCATCATGCTGGCTGCTGCTGCTGCGGCCACTGGAGCATTATGCCGAGGCCCAGGCACAAAATTCAAGTGCTTCTGCAGACCGCATGCAACAGCCACCGCAACTCCGACAGCAATAGCTTTCCTTGCTCCACGCACCATGGCCACTAAAAGTTCAAAAGCCTTAAAGTGGGTCGGATTTGCACAAAAAATAGCCTCTAAAACTGGCTTGAGCCAATGCATGCATATCATAGCTCCTGAGCTTCTCCATGTTGGTGTTGAATCCCGAAAACTGGCAAATGAGTGTGCTCAAGCACAACCCATTGACCCAACTAAGGTCTTGATCCATAAGAAACAGTGAACGAACTGCTGCAAACAAGTGGAAGTTCGTCAGGGACTTTCACGCCTATGATTGCATCTTAGCATGCAATCATGTGGCACACCCCGGCCTTTCGCCACCTGTGATGGGCATAGCTGGTTCCTGCCTGTAGCTACCTTGGCCACTGACAGTGTCAAAGTCCAGAAAGGACAAGAAAATGGAAATACCTCGTCTTATCAAGAGTGGTTAGCTTAATATGTTATCCCAAATAACATGAAAGTCAGTAGGGTGTAATATCATCCCATTTCGAGGACAGACCAGAAGAATGTGACACCAGTTTATCCAATGTGATGAAAGAGATGTTGCTGAGTTGTCCACCCATTGCCAAGCAGTGTCCTATGTCTTGGTAGGGCTTGGACCCTGCAACATGAAGCATTCACAGAAGTGCGTCGTGACATGGGTCAAAATTGGTTACCCAAACTTCAATACTCAAGAACGACCAACAGTTGCTTCTGTTCGAACCTTCAAGTTTCGACCCATTGATTGTATAATCTGCAAATCTAAGGAAACTTCTCTGGTGTCATCTAGACATGGCAGGTCAGGCCTCTGCACTCTTCCCAAGCAGAGCACCCGCATCGAACACAGTGGCATGATTCCACCCATCACTCCGCTGCAGCCAAAAAAAGCAGCAGTGACCTGCAATGCTTCACTTCGAAGCAGAAAAGACCTGCACACTCAACAAGTCTCTCCAAAAATGAGACCCCAAATCCGATCATCGCTCAAAAGGGTGGATTTTGGAATTTTGGAGTTACCATGAGTTACCGCAAAAAAAGAAGGTCCACGCTAAACATGTCCTTTTTTTGCTTCTCTGATTTGTTTCCTGTCACAATCTCCTTTGCGATCGCTCCAAGCAACGCTTGGCATAGAAACCCGGACACCCAAAGGCTCGCGCCATCAGCCAAAGGTCCAGCATCCAGGTTTGCACTATGCACTCCCCAAGCACTGAGGCACTGAGCAAGGCCAATACGAACTAACACTAACAAAGCCTTGCCATCCTGTACACCCCTCTCAACTCCGAATCAGAAAGTCTAAATTCATGGAGCCAACTGTCATCCAACGCCGCACCAAACTAGAGGCATCCAGCTTCCGCGAGCATGATTGCAGAGAATGGTTCAGCCTGTTGAACTGACAGCTCTCCGGCACTTGCGAGTGCCAGTACGGACGCGAAGGTCAAGGCTGCCGTGGTCCTTTCTTGTTGACCTGGCCGCATGATGCTGTCGAAGGAAATCACACCATTCTTCGCCCCGCGCAAGCACTTGCGAATGATGTCTCCCACTTCTGCTGTTCGATCATCTTGTGCTTCCACATTGCCAAATCCACCCAGCTTCATGTCATCCTCCAGCTCTACCGGTTCCATCACAACATCACCAAGCAGGGTGTCAATGGCTGCAGACTCAGCGGCCGCATACATCTCAGCATCGGGGACATCTGCATGCAGCTTGGGTGCTCCACTGAGGAGGGACTGCATTTCAGGCAACTCAGAGAGGGCCACGTTTGTCCCCTGCTCGAAGTACAGCACGCTGTCTGGATCCACCAACAGCCTGCTATGAGGTCGGAAACGAAAAAAAAAAAAAAACCTTCTGGGGGTCAGTGTGGCATGTGATTTTCCGTCATTCACCCGCCTTCCATCATCCTACATATCATGTTACTATACAAATGAATATTTTATATATCATACATTTACAGTACATATGTACAATAGATAATCATATTCAGGTACTCAATCAGCAATCAAACGTTGGATACCGTTGGGAGTTTGGGAGGCCTGAAGTTGGGCGCAAAGCGATCCACCGGTTGCGCGTCCAGCTCCATCATCTCGTGGTAGGTGGCTGCATTGAGGCGAGGGCGACAGAGACTCTCGTGGCGCTCATCTTGACCTGCCGTGCCCATTTGAATCTGAGTTCGGAGATTCCGGAAATGAGTTGTAGGTTGTAAGTATCCAACATGATGCAATTTCCATCAAACCACTCAAACCACTCAAAACTCCATCAACATGCCCCATCCCCATCTCATCCCATCACCTTTCACCATGATGGGATTGCCATCAAAGCCATAGACCACGCCAGGCCGCAGCAGTGCAGCTGCGGCGCGTTCCTGGCGGCAGCGCTTCGATGCCTCCATCGCCAGCGTCTCAAGGTCCACGGCAGCTGGCGCTACGGGCGGCTCCTGCAGTTCGATGTTGGGCACGTTGGGAACGGCGCCTTCGGCAATGGCCACGATCTTACCTGAGGAAGGGAGATACCCTCTGGTAATTTAACATAGCTATTGAAAATGGTGATTTTCCATAGCTATGTTAGTTTACCAGAGGGTAAATTCTGAGAAGGATTCAATAAGATATGATGGGTATTGGAATTACAACGATGGATCGTATTAGTTAGATTCAGATAGCAGGATTATGTTATAATGATGGATTACTGTTACTATATTATTGTGATGATGGAATGATTATATGTATACTGGGGGGATTCTGATGGATTTCCGGAAGAAGCGGAAGAATGATGATTAACATTAAAAATGTATTAATTGTGTAAATGTAGATGGAATATGTGTTGATGGATTCGGGGCACATCAATATCAATTTTGGGTGGATGTTGGCGATATGAGATTGTGAATAATGAAAATGAACAAAAAAGAATGGGTGTGGGTCAAAATGTGAGGCGCAGTGGACGACGATTTTTGGGCTTTAGCCATAAGCCATAAGTTGTTTGTAGTCCTAATTTTGACCCATACCAAAGCCATATCTGAAACCACCAACTGGCTGCAATCCTGTGCGTCAGTAACTTCCAACCGATCCTTTCCCTCCTTGTTCCCTTCTTCGGCCTGAAATCGCGGCACCCAGCCTTCCGGCTTCTGATCATGAGACACCTCACAAGCACTGGGATCCAGTAGCTGGGGCATCTTCAATTCGGCCAATTCGATAGAGGGCAGGACTTCTTGAGAAAACCCCGCACCCAGCTGCAGCAGAGCTCCCTGCTCCAGTGGTGCCCTGGTCCAATCAAAGGCCTCACAGGCCTCCACTCGGGCCAGATCCAGGTCCAGGGTCAAGGCTGCCTCCATGCGTTGCCTCTTGGCAGCTGGGAGCCTAATCTTGTGATCCTCCGTGAAGGGCTGGCGGGCAAACATCAACACCACACGTTCGGAATCGAAGTAAAGGGATCGCGCCCTCTCATTGTTGATGACACAAAAGCCTTTGATCATCGTCCCATAGACCCGGAGAGTCAGGGGCTTCTCGGTCTGCGGCCCATGGTCCTCAATGAGCCGCTGCACTCGCAGCTGGATGTCCATGTCCACCTGCTTCTTGCGCTGCCGAGCTGTAGAGGTGGCTGCCACCCAGCAGTCCCTCCAGCGCTCATCGTAGAGATCAAAGGCAACTTCTTGGGGCATGGTGCCAGACACTGTGAAAGTTTGGAAGTGAGAAGTTGAGAGAAGTTTGTGGCCGTCAGGCCGGAGGGGGTCAAGGGCTCCAGATGGAATCTTGAACCTCCTTGCAAGGCTGCAAGAAGCTGCTTCTGAAGCCAACTACTCACCAAAAAGAAAGAACAGTGACAAATGGTCATAAAAGCTGCATCTTGCATCTTCAGTGCAAGGTTTGTAGTGGTCTCCGAGTAATTTGATGGAGACGGGTTGAACGCCATCCAGAACAAAACAATAGCAGCAAGATCTTTTCATGTTTGACCTTTCATTCTCAACAAGCACAGCTGCACCACTTTCACAAGCAACAAATGTCTTGCTGTTGGGCCGGGACCCGCCAGCACCACCCAGTTTCAGTGGCGCCAGCACCAGCTAGCTCCCTTTTGGAGCCTGTGGAGGTAGAATCACCTCACCAACCAGAACCAAGCGGCGATCAACAGGGGGAGATCCCTGGGAGAACTCAGCTTTGGACGATCAGCGTATCGCCTTCGGCCCAGTCATTTTGCTTATCCTGAGCCCATTTTTTTCTGCAACAGAATGGCAAGGCCCAAAAAAGATCAAAGGTCCATATGGACCCACGAATCTGGATGACCCATCCTGGCAGGCTTTGTGGCTCAAAATGACTGATGCCATCTGATGCCCACAAAAAATTGGACAAAATGATTGCCTAAATGGACAGATACTAAGTGACTAAAGCTCCACAGACTTCCCCTTGACCCTGGTCCCCTTGCCTTGCCAAGTTGACACTCCTGCGCAGGATCCAAGAATCAGTAGCAGTCCATGATGCTCCTCTGGTCCCACCCTCCGACTAATGAGATGAAAGGAAAAAATACCGGGATTTACCAATTCTAACCGCAGTTTTGAAAGGTTGTTCGATTCAAATGCCTTGCACCTTTCCCTGCAACCAACTTCCATTCACCATCCACGCTGTTTTCGGAGCCCCGTTCCAGGCCTCGTTTTGGGATTTCCATCCCACCAGCCTCGGATCCACCAGCCTTTCCCATCAACGAAGACAGTGAGTCAGTCCAGACTGAGGAACTGGCAGGCCGCCACGCTTTCGAACTGTATCCTTAGCAGAAAAACTTCCATGATCAACATGTTTGACGCCAAAGATCCAGCAGATAAGGAGGAAATCGGCAACCCTGGAACCACCTAAATGTCATCCAAATAGCTGGTAGTTTATGGGTTTCATCCCGCAATGGAAAATCATGGGTTGGGTTGAAGCTTCTGACAGATTAGTTCCTACTACCCCATGAAACCACTTGGTATAACCACGTCTGGCTATGGCTCAAATGTATTTACCCCTCTTTTGGAATGATTTAATACTCAAAATGACCCATGTTTGACTCCCTATAACCATGATACAACTCATATCACCTTTAACCATCAACCACCAGGTCTCTGAATTCTCCATTTTCATCCTTCACATGCAAATGACGGAAGGTCTGTCGTTTCATGCTAGTGACCTCCATCATCACAGAGCTCATCACCCATAAAGCACTTGCAGGTCGGCTCTCCTGATTAGCTCCTTCACCACAACCTCCCCGACAACATATGCAGCTTCACATGCAGTGTCCAGCCCAAAAGGCAGTTCCGCAACTGGTTTCTGACCAGGTGGAGGCTCGACAAAATTGCTCGCACTTCTGAGCACAAGCAAAGCATTTGATCCGGCAAAGCTTCGGCCGGACCGCTGCAGACCTACCAAAGCCTCGGCAACTGCAAAGTCCTCCATAGCAGATGTGCTTAGGCGGCCCTCACTCCTGGAGTTTCCTGCCGGAAGCCAATACTTTGTCCAATTTCGGGCCCATCCAGCGCTCTCGCTGCCAGTCCAAAAAACATCTGTTGACAGAGTGTCTCCTAGCATCACCTTTGGCGGAGCTCTCGCTGCAGAAGTGTTGTAGCGGAGACGGAGCTCCTGGAAGTCCTCTGAATCCGGGAGCTTCATAGATTGCGTCAAATCGTAGGCCCACTGCACCAGTCTAGAATTGAGCTCCACAACCATGGTGCTCTGCTCAGCAGGTGATGGCAAAGGAAGTCCATACGGCTCGTTTCGATGCAAAGGCAACCAACCACTTGGCCATGCTTTCGGCATTTCTCGAGGATCAATGAATTTCACTGCAGTTCCATCAACCAGGCGCTGACCCCATGTGACGGACCCCACGGTTCCAACCAAAGGATCAACACCTGCAATGCCAGCCAAAAGCCATGCAGATTTTCGCAGATCGAAACGCTGATCGTAGCCCAAAGCTGTCACCGACTGTGCAGCATGCTTTGAAGTTTCACCGGTCACCATGCCAAGGACCTCCAATTCACTATTCCAACACAGAACCTTTGACCCAGCACCCCCTGGGAATTGCAGCTCTTCTTTCAGCTGCAAGCGCTCCTTCCACCTGACGAATTCAGGTGGAAACGTGGTGACCACCACCACCTTTGGGACAAGCTGGGCATGGCTAAGCCCTACCAAGAACAGCAGCCACGTTAGAAGCAGCATGGCGCAGTTGGGATACTTAGGCAGCAAAATTCTGATGGCTTTCTTTTTGAAGCCGTTCACAAATATTACGTACCATGCAATATGTAATAAATCCCCGGGTGTCTGTATCTATGCTTCGCGCTTCAACAAGTGCGCGCCCAAAAATTTTGGAGGTAAAAACCAGCTCACCATATAATTACCGTAAATCACCATAGAAGTGAGTGCCTGATTTCGACGATTCTGCAGTAATTTGTGCCTTGGTGTAGGGGTTCATCGGGTGCTACTCAGGTACCCTTGTCTGGCCCGATTGAAACTGCTGCGCTGTGCCACCTTCCGCCATTTCTGCACATGTTCTCCAATTTTGCATGCGCTTAAGCCAAAATGGCTACGGACTTTTCATCCTTCATATTGCTGGATCCCTGTGCATTGATGGCCGTGCCCCCAAGGACTGGGTATACAATGACAATCCAACTGGGTCTACAATAGCACATATCATACTTTGTAGCCATTCCAAAAAGATAGAAATGTCTTTCCAGCTGATTATAGATGATATTCAGATATATTTAGCAGCAAAGCACATATTTCATCATATTTCCAGGGTCCCACTATACATCCAACGGTGGCAACCCCACCATCCGGTGACTCCCAAGCGTCGCTGAGTTCCCTCCAAGTCTTCGCTTCCTTGGCGTCCTCATCGAAAGCGGCCACCGTGTCCCGAGGAGGCAGGAACTCCTGCACCGGCCTGACCTTGCCGATCCAATGGAGCATGGGGCGCCCTGAAAATCTGACCGTTTCTCATCACGGTCCCAATAAAATTGATGGGACACTTGGGGAAAATTGCTGATCATGCTGGCGGGATTTCAGTATTTTGGAAGCCCATCAGCATTGTTTTCAACAGCTCTAAGGCTCTAAGTTCCAGCCTGCAAGGAAGGACAGCTTGGAGACATCAGGATCATCAGCGTATTGAACCTGGGATGCTGCACAAATTCCCCATGACCTCTGGGGCTCTGACAATCCCAACATCCGACATCTGGGGCATGTCACACAGCTGGCTCGGACATGGCCATCATGAAAATGCCTGTCTCCAGCGCCTCCAAGGGCTGCAGCCAATCTTCGCAGATCTGAGGTGATCTTGTGACATACCCTCTGGTAAACTAACATAGCTATTGAAAATTGCCATTTATAGTGGATTTACCCATTAAAAATGGTGACTTTCCATAGCTATGTTAAATTATCAGAGGGTATCTTCCATTTACCAAGGGTCCCGGTCTATTTGGACCCATCCCCCTTCCCCAACAAAACACCGAGGCTGCCTTGCTTCGAAAGAAGTAGGCCATCTTTTTCAAGTTTTCATTGCGCCACAAGACCCGCTCAGTTCGCGGGTCCAGAACTTCGCAGATGATCTTTGACTTCTTTTGGCTCCTGGAAAAATGGCAAACGCTATGGGTCAAAAGTGGGTACCCCAATATATGATTGGATCAATACCAAAAAAAACCTGTGGCAATTTGGATAATACAATGCCAACAAATGGTGGGATGGCTAAGTTTGACCCATACCCAAATGACGAAGAACATCTTCAAAAGTGCATGGCAATCTCCAGAAGATTGCCACGCAGAAATCACCATGATGGATGATTCCCAGCGAATCTGATGCTTCGATCTGAACTCACCCCTGAAAACAATGGTTAATTATATAATATACTATATAATAAACATATCTCCTATATAAGAATTCATTAGTGAAAAAAAAAGCACGGTTTACCAAAAAAGTGAAAAAAAAAACCAATTGTAGTGCCAATGATTTTGACATTCTACCTCTGAACCACATTGGGTATGGGTCCAAATACAACAATAATTGGATGGTTAATTCTAGAAATAAGATGAAATAAGTTAAAATCCGTGATACCCCAGGTCTCTAATTCTGATCCATACCATGGACGAATGTTCTCCTCTATGTTTTTTTTGGGTTCATCCGGACCTGACATTCGCCAGCTTCCGGCATGACATACCACTAAGCTTCGGGCACAGCTTCGAGAGAGTAGGTACGGGCTTCCAGCAGCTCACATGCCTGGCCAGACAAGCAGAAGCCACGGCCATCAAAGATTTAAGCTAGGGGGTTCTGTTTTCCCTGAAACCGATTCTGGGAACATGTTTTAAGTCTTCAAACTCTCTGCGGAGCCACACAGTGGCCAAGCTTTGGCATAATCACATGGAAGTGGTGCCTGGGCCTAAGACTTTAAGCTAAAACAAATGGGTTTGTCTGAAAATAGGGTATATTCCCAATGAAATAGCCATTTAATAGGGATTTTGTGATCAGCAAAACCATTGGGTTTAGGGGTTTTCTCTATTTTCAGACACACCCAAATGAGCCTAGGACTTCCAAGCCTTTTGGGCTGACGGTACCCAACTTGGATCATGTGCACAGTAGCATGGTGCAGCATGGTGTGCTTGGATCAACGCACGTCAGCGTCAAGTGCCTCAGGTGTGCTTGTTCGTGGCCCACAGTTTTCTCCCAAAATGTCTGCAATGACCTCAGAGAGAGGAGTGAGACACCCTTATCCCCGGCCAAAAACAGCAATGTCTTAAATCATCTTGCGTGGATACCGCTCGAGACGTTATGGCTGCAAGAATGCTTGTTTGCGGCTAAGAGCCTCTCTCAGGAGAGGAATCAACGAGTTTCACTCCATTCAATGATGGAAAACCTGCTTCTGAGCACTCTCAAAGGCCAATTCTGGATTGGTTCTGCTAGTTGACAGGAATCCCCTCCCATGTCTTCTTACCATCAACGGGCCAAGGACCGGACCAGCAGAGAAGTGAGGCAAGCCGAATCCTCAGGGATACCCACGCCGGTAATCATGGCCCATGGCAACCACGGCCTTTAAAATCCTTTGATTCTCAGGGCTTTTAGTGGGAAACCTAGTGGGAAACCTGGGGAAACCTGGAACCAAGTTACCAAATGATACCAAATGATTTTTTTTTCCAGCCATGTTCGATGACCAGAGGCTACTCCATTGGATGCACAAGCCACAAACGACACAGCGCAGGCTGGGCGCAAGACGCAGGTGAGCGTGTCATCACCTCAGAGTTGTTGGAACCCTGACAAAGATGAAAAAAGCTAGACCCTGGTCAAATAGTGGCAAATTACTTTTCAATCTTTTTGAGGGTTGCTTTACATTATATTAACAATACTGGATATATGATATACAGATTGTAATGTAACTATTTGAAGTAATTAGCAGGAACGAGTCTTGCTGAGATGTTTGGATCTTGTTGTGATTTTAACTAGCAGCGCGTCTCGCACAACCTATTACCCTGTGGTCACAGTGTGCCTGGTGCCTTCGCCCTCCTGTGAAACACATACATGATATTGATCAAAAGATCGTTTGCGAAACGGGACTATTCGCTTGCAAAAATCCTTATCAATTTTTCAATGACGTTGCTGGGGTCGCCACCAACTTCATCATCGTCTGCAATCTGGCGAAAAGGTGACAGAAATCTTGGCAGGAATCTTACTTCAAGAAGTATGTATTGTATCTAAGGACCAAAGAACCTATCAGTTGCGCACAGAGACTGTTCCAGATTCAAAGCAATCAGCGCAACCCGCGCATCAATGGCCAATCGTGGATGCTCTGTGTGATTTGAAGCTATCAATTCTTTTGTAGGAACCTCAACAGCCAAGTTGCACCTTTCATTGGATTTCTTCAGTCCCACAGTAACATCAGTATCATCAGTTCCATATCCAAAGTGTGGCGCCAAATATTCCCCGGATCTCCCCAACCCCAACCTGTTCAGAGAGATCCATGAATTGGCTCGCCAACTGCGCCAGGATCAGAATGGCCCCGGGCTGGCTCTCGCCATCCACACCGTCGAGGGCCTGGATGGACTGATGAAACAGATGGCCTTCTACACAGGAAAAGACACCCCCAGAGTATGAAAAAGTGTCAGATCCCCTGAAAACCGAGGGGTCCGAGGGGGTTCTGACGGAATCCTAGCGGAAACTGTTCAGGGCCTTGATTTGGGGCACTGGGCCTTCTCCAGTGGCAACTGTTCCAGCATCTTCCTGGAGGTTCGTGGACCAACAAGGTGCTGGAGCTCCTGAGCGAAGGCGGAGCGAAGGCGGAGCGGGGCCTTCCCTAACCCCAAGATTTCAGCAACAAACTTTACGAAGTTGGATTTATGGTAGATATATGGTAGATATAGATATAGAAATGATATAGATATTTATATATATATATCTTATAGTTTTAGCTTTCCTAGATGGATTTATAAAGCAACTTAAGAACTGGGAAGCACCGCTTTTGTTGGGATAAAGTTATGGAATGCGAGCATTTCTTACATGGAATCATACTCATACTCCACTACTGCGGTTCTAGTCTTTGTGGATGCTGCAGGGCGCTCATTTTGAAGCCCAAAACTTAATTAATGGACACCTTGCAACCCAGACACGATGTTGCGAAGTTTTCGCTGGCCTTTGCCTTTCGCAAGAAATGGCGGATTTTCACTCTCAAATCACAAAAAGTGGGGAAATTCAGGCTGAGTACTTGGATGTGCATCCCAGTAGTGTGTAATAACACGGTTACATGTGGAATACATACCCCAGCAATGAATCATTTAACGACCAATGATCGGCGCCTGCACACAAGGCAATGCGCTGCGGTTCAGTGCGCTCTGATAAAACATGAACTTCTGTGCCTCAATTCGGTGTCACAGATGCGCCAAAGGGGTCCAGAAATGGGTGGCTGGTGCCTGACGTCATGGTGGATTTATCCCTAATTGATGGCCATCTGATTGGGGAAAATGGTGATCATCCATCAAATATGGGGATGCTGGCCATTGTTGAGAACCAAATCATCCTCCCAATCTCTCCCAATTTCAGTTCGCTGGGAAATCATTCCATCATGCTTTGGGCGTCTCCAAAACAGGGGGGAAGGACTCCACAACCATTCTTTTCTCCTGACGAAGCCCCTCCCATCATCAATCAAATAATGTTGAAAACGCAATAAAAAACCGACCATTTGAGATGGTTTCACCCTTAAAAGTCGTGATTTTGGGGGATGGTGTATCACATTCGTGACATTTTGAGGTCACTAATCTTGGGGAGAAACCTCCACAACATCCGTCAGGTCGCAAAAGCTGAGCCCGTGGCCCGGCGGCACTTTCTCATCAAGCAGAGCAAGGACTTCTGCGAAATCTGAACAAAGCTGCTGCTTGTTACCCCCAACTGGTTGGCATGGCCCTTTCGGGGACCGCAGATTTGATGATTCTACCTTATCATTCAGGTTGGGGAGCAAAATCTCAACAGAAACATGGTCACAATTTGACCCCTCGGCACAGGCTCATCATTTCTTGCACAGCCTGCAGGCCAACCAATCACCACGTACACGCGCTTTCGTGCGCCCTGCCAGCGCGGAGAAAAATACAGTATACAGGGTGTTGCTTTTCGCTAAGGGTAGGGAAAGTGTCCACCAAAACTGTTTTCTCACACTGGCAGCCTGGCAGCCTGGCAGCCTAAGTAGCTTTCGGCCAGACTTGACCAGCATTGGACCACAATCGAAATAGATAATCACATCGAAAAAACCATCTATATTCGGGGTCCCCAATGAATTGTGCCCAGACAGCTGCATCCAAAGCGAATCATCCATGTCCTCCGCATCAACTGGTGTTGGCGATGAACTCCTTGCATTCGCCGCTTTGCTGAAGACGTCCGGCTCTCCTTAGCCAGGGGGGTGGGATGTCCTGGTGCTTGTTGCAGTTCAGCTGTCACTCCAGAGCAACACACCATGATGCATCATGGTACTGAATAATCACCATTTTTTTTCATAGTAAGACATCTAATGAGTGGAAAAAATTGCCCATTGCTAGCTCAGATTTTTCCGATACCCTTGTGCAGCCTGGTACCCTTCTGTTGACATCAAGATAGCCGGTAGTTCCAACCGCGGTGTTTTTTTTCTTGCTTTTTTGGCTTTCAATCTCTGGGTCTGGGAATGGTGCGTCGTTTGGTTGCCAAGCCCAAACACTGGAACCGAACCGGAAGGGAACTTTGGAACCCTGGAACCCCTTCTGCTGTTGGGTTGAAAAGCCGGGTTAACAATGGAATTTCCTCCCTGAATTCAGATGTTCCAGTGCGTACTATTCTACCCCCACATTTCCACTACTTCGTTAAAGCCAAACTTTTTGTGGTTTCCACCATTTCTGCCAGTTGAAACCTCAAACTCTGCTGGATTCCACTACTTCTGTTGCTTAAAACCGCCCATGTTTTTCCATAGTTCAACCAGCCCAAAAAAAGGTCGAGCCATCCTCATCTCCAGAAACGAGCGTCCGGAGACCAACGTGCTGGGCATGAAATCCGGATCTACACTGCGCCAGTGAAACAGCGAGCTCGTGGGCGCTTCAACATCCGCCCAGTTGGAAGCCATCACCAACAGCCGCTCCTGTGCCTATGGAAGCGGTGGCTGCTTCTCCAAGATTAAAACTTCCCCGAAACGGATGGTTAAATGTTCAAAAAGAAAACTGTGAAAAGTGTCATTTTAAGAGGTCTTCCCAAGTTTTTGGACACACCCATTTCTCAATCTGTCTTTGGCCTAAGGCAAAATGGGGGCGTGGCCGACCAATAATGATGATAATGATGGGCATATGATGGGGATATCAATAGAGATATTAATCCACATTAATGTGATTAATATGGGGTAGTCCCATGCCCAGTGATGTTCTGGGAACCCAGCTACTACCCATAGGACTCCAAGACGGCCCGCTCCTCCATTGGTCGGTCATCGCTGGGACAAAGATCGATACGGGTGCCGTGCGCATTGACCACTGGTTTCGTTGCCTGAGACCCAAGATGGAACGAGCATAGCTCATGATGCCGGAACAAGATTGGGTCGACTGGCTTCAGTGGAATTAAATGAAATCTATAAGATAAGTCCATAATGATGGTAGATTGGCTATGGAAATCAAATATATGTCAATCATTGTCAATCGTTCTCTCTTGGAAAATCGAACTTTTGCTGGCTCCATCCCCTCCAAACTGCGCCCCGTGGCAAATGCCCACCCGTCCTCGACGCCAATGCAAACCGCCCGATCAAAGGCTTTGCGAGCTTGGCCAAAGGTTTGCCATTCGGGCAGCGGCTGAATGACCTGGGATGATTTACCAAAAAAACGATGCAGAAAGGAGGGGGGGTTAATTACCTGGTTGATATAACCTAGCTAACCTCAACAAATGGGGGGTTCTTGTCAATTTTCCGTTCCATCCTGAAATACGCCAAAAGACATACAGCTCCTCTCCGGACGTAAAGGAGCAAAGGTCGGTGATCATGCCACCTGTGGCCCCAAGTGGCCAAGGGAGGGACTCAACCAAAGTGGTGACAAATCATAAACCTCGCCTTTTTTCACTACTTTTTTAGATGAAACCCAAATGCTTCTGGATAAACTTGGGTTAGAAGCGACGAGTTTGGCTTCGTGCCTTCCCAATCTGATAGTTGTAGCTTAAGTCAATCACATTGCAGCGGCTGTTCTGAAGAGAATAAGTCCATCACCCACAGTTTGGTCCGTGGCAAGCAAGGACAGGATGTGGCTGCAAGCAGCTCGAGCATGGATTACCTGCACGTCTCATTCAAAATCGATATGACATCGCTCTACATTCAGATGTTACGCTTAAAAAGGGCACATGTCACACATGTCCGATTGCAGAGTGTTGAAACCCAGTCCGGCCCATTCCGACCCATTCCAACCATTCAGTTTTCTCCACGGTCAACTGTGCCACCTGTGTCCCTGTGGGATCTGGGTGCAAGCGTCGCAAGACCGTCTCCACCTCGTGCATCTGAACCTGCCGGAAGCAGCTGCATCATCTGCATCATCAACAACCAAAAGGGAAGATAAGTAAGGAAAATGATGGATACAACCACCATGGTAACCAATCCAAATTTGGGATATAACGACATCTACAAACAGTGGAATTGATCATCATTCTTACCCTCTGGTAATCAAACATGGCCATCGAAATCCCCCATTTCTAGACATTTGTAGACTATCTTTGCCATTAAAATGCCCATAAATAGGGGATGTCCCATTGACAACCCTCACATAAAGTAGCCATTCTTCATGGGATTTCATGGGGAATTCTGCCCACCTCAGCGAAGACTTTGCACTTCACTGGCTGACGGAGCGAGGACAAAGCCACCATGACGCGGACCTGGGAGATGTCGATACAGGGAAATCCATTGGGAAATCCATTGGGAAAACACCGGTCTTTTCCAGGGAAAAGGTCTGCGGGTTGAACTATTTCCTCAGCATTTGCTGGTTTTAAGGGACCAACCGTCTCCAGATCGGCGTTACGCTGGTCTCCCTCACGGCTCAGGAGGATGATTTCCTGCTGGGAAGCATATCATCCCATTGCGACTTCCAAAGGAGTCAGAATCAATGATTTTAAAAAGGACAATTGTATGAAACTTGCCATAGATTGGAGGCGAACTCCACTATTGACAAAATTTTGGCCATCCATCTCCTGCGCGTGGCTAGCACCCGCACGCTCCAACGAGTCGCCCTCGTGGGTGATGCCTTCGCGGAGCTTCAAACTGTTCAGCAACCTCCAGCGCCTGCAGAAATTCCGGAATGGCTGTGGAAATTCATGTGATTTTGATTGATTTTGCAGATTTACATCTCGATTCCAAGAAATTTGACACTGGGCCGGTGAAAAATTGAAAAATCTTGTATACATGAGGTTTTGTGTGCGACTGTTTAAACTCCAGTGGATGGAATGGAGTACCCGATTCTAGCAGAAAATTAGCGTGCATTAATGATTTTGGGAGAACCAAAGATATTTGGGTGATGTTTAAAGTTTATGATCACTTCAAAAAACTTCAAAAAGATCTCCGCTTTCTTGATATATCTGGCTTTTTCTGGCAGGAAATTGCAAAGTTAAACATGCAAACCTTGCACAGAATCAAAGCAAGGGTGAGCAATTCGCAAGTCTGACTTTGCACCCTTCAAAGCCTAACATGTTGAAAGGAATGAGCCCGAAGAAATCTGCATCCTTGCCAGGGGATCTGTCCTGCATTTTTGTCAAGATTGATCCTATCACTCTGATCTCACTCATCTAATCCAGAGATCAAGTCCATCCCTCATCAACCAATGCTTTTGTGGAAATATTCGGAACAACCCGCCCTACAATATTGCCATTGTTAAACAGGGAAACTGATGATCTTGTGGTACTTCAAGGATTCTCCCCATAGCCGTTATACCCAGACCCAACGGACCCCATCTTGACCCCATCTGCCTGTCGAAGAAGGACAAACCTTCCCAGATCTGATAGAAGTGCTGCTGAACCTCCTGATGCATCTCCGAAACTTCTCGCTCCGCCAGCACCACAACAGACACCGAGAAATCACCACTGGAACGAAGGGCTTCGAAGAGTTCGTTCAACAAATAGAGGGTTTTTTCACTCCAACCCAGGATCAGGATGTGATTTCCATACCTGATGAGCAAATGCAGCAAATGGACCTGGGATCACCCTTGGAACCTCTTTGTTGGTTCACATACCTGCATCTGTTTGCGCTTTCCCTTCCCCAAAGGAGATGATGGGACAGTCAATACCCGGGCCCAGTCCACAGGGATATTGGATATCAATCCCATTCTTGAAAGGGGACCAAAAAATGAATCAAAATGACATAAGCAGTTTTTAGGGATGCAACATCAAATAAAACATGAACGAAAACCTCCAACTAGACACCAAATGCGGCTCTTGGTCTTGCTCCAACGATCCATGGAAGACCGGATCCATTCCACCTGAACGATCAACGGAAGCTCAAGATGAGAACTTCAGTCATCCGTTCGGAAAAAGAATTGGGTCTTAAAATTATGGGGGAAAGCCTGAGTCCAAAGGTCTACCATGATTTTCCCATTAAAACTGCTATATAGATATTTGATTGCTGTTCCCCACTTTAAGGCACACCCAACCATTTTTAGCAGGGATGGATTTTGCCAGAAGAGCTGGCTGCGTTGTTCCTGAGGAGCTGGCGATGATGCCCAGAAATGTCCTTGGAGCTGCTTGGCAGCAAATGGCAGGGTATCTAGTGAATTGTGATGCTGGATGATGATGGTGGATTCACGGTGACACACAGCAATTGCAGTTGTGCATGCAGCCAGAAATCAGGTTGTAGAGGAATCCGAGAACCGAGAAGATCAGAGCAGTTGCCTTCACTTTGGTCGGCGCACCAGCACTTACACCTTGAGACCAGCTGCCACATGGGCGGCAGCTGGAAAGCCCCATGGCCAAGATGATCATAGATGATCCACGTCTATCCACGTCACATTTCACCATCACCCAAGGGATTTTGGCCCATGAGAATCATCCCAATCCACCAATATCCACCATCCACCGGCATCCGGCACCTGTCTGTGTGCCGGGATCAAAGAAAAGCCCCCAAGACATCCAGGAACTTTGCTCCCACGATGAATTCGCATTTTCATCTCCGCCAATGGCCGACCACACCACCTAAGACTAAGAGCTGCTCCGAGGAACAGTTTCATTGGATTGGTTCAAGGGATTTTTTTTACTGGAAACTTCCATATATTTGATGATAAAAAACGTGTAAAATACTATCATTACCTGAGATCTTCTCTTCCAACCCAGCAAAACCGTTCACATTCCACTAGGAAGATCGGGGTGAGAAGGAAACCCTCTGACAAAAATGATGCTGGTCTGGGATCATCATCAATCATTTTATCGAGTTTGAAATGGAAAATTCCAGGGCCGGCAGTTCAGACCCCACTCCGTGCGGGTCTAAGAAGCAGTTCCGGAGCCAATCAAAATCATCGCAGCGGCCTAGGTCTAGGTTGGTGTTTGGTGGTTTCAACCCATCCCAGAAATATGCGAAAATCATCGAAAATCAGTGGGAACCATCAGGTCAAATATGATTGAAAACCAGTGGAACCACCGATGAAATTGGAGATTCTCTGCAATTCTCTGCAACCATCATCCATGATCCTTCAAATCCGTTTCAGGAGATTTATCAACCCCACCAACCCCTATTGGAATCTCCAGCACCTCTGAGCAAGAGGCCAACAGCGACACCAATTGGCCACGACCATCTCCTTGCAACCAGTCACGCCTCAAGTGGTGCTGCCGCAGGGGATGGTTCCATTGAGATGGTTCCCGAATATGGTGATGGTGAAAGGATGGTAACCATCCCAAAAGAAATATGCGAAATTCATAGTTTTTGACCCATCCCTCCTTTTTGGAGGGCAATGAATTTTGACCCATGCTCACATGTGTGGATAGTATAGATGTTGCAAATCTCCTCAGTTTCTGACCAATGTCGCAGAGCAAACCAAGTCCGAACTGCTTCTGGCATGCAAAAGTGCAGAGGGAATGTCAGGTTGAGCACTGGTCGCGGTATATTTTTTTAGAACTCTAATTTGTGTTTGTAACGAAAATCGTTCGGAAATGTGCAAAATGACAAATAAATATGATTGAATATGTTCCATCATTCTACAGATGAAAATGTGAAACATTTCAACAAGGACAATTTCTGCCAATGGCCACTAAAAGATCTGACATCCCTGCCACCCAGCCTTTCAGACTACAGCATAGGCAGCAAGTCCTTCTTTTTTTCTCTCTGAAGAGGCCATTTTGTCCTGGATTCGGTGTCTGACGGTACACACAAGCAGCCGAATTCTGCAAGTGTACTCCATGGCAATCAAAGATATTTATAGATATGTTTTCTCATTTATATAAGTTTCCAGTTTTAGGGATTTTCTCATTACCATGTTTGATTGCTGGGGAGTATATAGTCCCATTCCCAGGTCACTTGGTGAGTTTCACCAATTGAAAACCCCCAGCATTTCGTCCTGCGAAATTGCTCTTTTGGCTTTGCGTCCGGCTGTCCTTGTTTTGAACATCGTGCCATTTTTTGGGATCATTGAAACTGCAAAATGGTGGTGTCTCTGGTTTGATGAAAAAAATTGCCGCCCAACCTCTGGCACGATTTTTTGGCCTTTGGAGCAGCGCATTCTGTCCTGGAAATACCGCAGAACGAATCAAAACATCATTTTTGCAATCGCTACGAAGACCCCAAAATCGTATGGTTTGTCATAATTTTCCACATTTGGGCATCCTCCGTTTTTGGGCAAACCCAAATATGTCAATCCATTGATAAGCGCGGGCGGTGAAACCATATTGCAGTGCCTCCTTCACATCAGCCACATCCGGCACAACCGAGATTTCCATGAGCAAACATGGTCGCTGAGAGAAAATACCCAAGACATGTTCACTATTTCTGGTGAAGAAAAAATATCCACACTGCAGGATTTAGCAATTTCCATCTGAATTCAACTGTGCAACTGGATGTTTATTGTAACCTTGTGAGTTTTTGTTCCTTGAATTGCATTGCAAATTGCATCAGACACATTCAAACAATTACAAGTCAAAAACATACTACATCCGGCAGATTCATCATATTCATTCCAATTTAAAATATATAGGTAAAACAGCAACGCCAAAAACAAACATCACAAAACCATAAAACCATTCACGTTTTTGTCCATATGTGTCATCGGCAAAGCGAATGTGATCTCCCCGCCGTTGTGCAATAACATTGTGCCACAATGATGTGGAAGTGAAAACAATCAAACAAATGATGACAATGATGTTGATGATGATGATGATGATGATGATGACACACGATTTTTTTGCACCATGTGGTTCTGTGATTCATGAAAGTTGTCCTCTCCCATCCGTTCTGATCGGGGATGTGCCCAAAAAAAGATTTGATTTTCCCATCTCATTTGCTTCAAGTACTGGGTGTTGAAGGTGCAAAAGCAGAGGTAGCAGTGGTCGGGCGTATTGGGTTCAAATCTAGTTACCGACCAAGTGCAACACACAAGCGTCACACCTTTTCCTTGAAGCATGACGTGTGCTGAAAAGGCGCTGCGGACATGCACGCGTCTTACATGACATGTCATCTCTACAGCTACATCTACACATGGGGTTTTACCCATGGTATGTTGCCACCCTCCTTAGAGTGACATGTGGTTTGGTGAAACCTTTCTACAGGTCTTCGTCGGAGTCAAAGACCTGATCTCTGTAGCCGGACCCTAAGAACCGGTCTTCGGCTCTTCGCCACACAGCGAGCTCCTCTTCCGTCATATTCTGGAAGGGATCGCTTCGAGTTATGTCCTCAACGTCTTGTTGGGACTCGGGCTCTCGCTGCGGCGGATCTGGCGGGTCAAACCGCTCTGGCGGGTCTTCCCGCTCCAGCGGGACATCCCGCTCCTCTGAAGAAGATTCATCCTCAGCGGAGGCGTTGTCCTCTTCCATGGGTCAGTCGCTTTTCTTGTCTGCGCCATCTGATGAGCTCCTCCAGGGTCATGTTTGCTTCAGCTCCCCTTTGGGCCCATCTTTCTTCATGCCACCTTTCGACAGCTTGAAGAGTCAGTTCTACTCCTGACTGCCGCGGGGCTTCCGCTGGCGCAGCCATTCGAGCATTTCCGGCTTTGATTGCTAGTTTTCCTCCATTGCGGGTTGCCGTGAACCTCACATTCAGCTGAATCTTGGGATCCTTGAATCTGCAGCTGAACTTCCGCTCCTTGAGTAGGAACCAGTTCTTCTGGCTCGAGAGGAAAGAGCCATTCCGCAATTTGCCCGCCAAGTTGACACACTTTCCACCACACGGTGATAGTTCCAATCGCCGCCAGGATACAGAGGATCAAAATCATGCTGCCAAGTGTTGATTTCCTGCTGCTGCACTGCGACAACGTTAATCTGGCTCAGGAGCACCAGGGTCTTAATGGCATTGACCTTGGCATTCCCTTGGGTCACCGTGGCAGTCTTTCCCGCTCCTTCTGCCTGCTTGTGAGTCCAGGCGACAGAAGCTGGGATTGGTGTCTTCTATGTTTGCTGTTTGTTGATTTGGGATACTTTCACATTGATGTGTTTTGAGCTTGACAGGATGTCTTCTCCTTGCGGAGGTTTCATACATTCCAATTCCAAGTCCCGGCAGTGCTTGTCGCACCTCCGTTCCAGACTTGGGATGCTTTGTGAGAAAATTCGCACAGTTCACTGTTCCCGTGACTTTCCCCAAGGACAACAGCTTGGCCTGCAAGACTCCCTGCATGTAAAACTACGCAGTTTGGCTCCAGGGCCAATGCGCTTTGAAGCTTGGATCGCCGATGAACTGTCTGTCCATAGGCAGGGCTTCCCGCACGTCTGCCCAAAGTCGAGAATAATGAGATCCTTCACCTTCAAGAAGATCCCTTCTCGCGCCGCTCGAGATACTCCTCCAAGCTCGGCATCAGGCGACTACGTTGCAGGTAAACCCGGTTGGGTTTGAGTTGTGCAAGTCACAACTGCCCCTGCCACAATGAATGACAAGATGGCTGTCTGTTGACCTGCGTGTCTCCAGGCATCCTGCCCAGTCGCTGTCGCTATAAAGCTCGATTGACCAGCGCTCACCAACCTTCTGATCACAGGTAATCACCCGTGAAACGGTGGGATGTGCCTGCAAGTATGCTGCCCGGGTTTTCACAGACTGCATGTCACACTTCCTGGGGTTTGACATTCTTCGTGCAGCTTCCTTGACAGCAAATTGTGATCCCTTCTGTCAAGTGACAAGTAGATGGCTGAGCCTGGCCCTGCGCGCCTTGTTTCTCGTAGCTTCCATTGCCTGTCTGCCAGAAGCTGACTGCAATTTTTTGCAGGGAAGTCGCCAGGGCCGATGAATCCCATGGACCTCGACCATGTCGGCGAAAACGGACATGCGTTTTTTTCCTTCGGAGTTTGGCCGATAAGGCTGAATGGCTCGGTCCTTTCTAATACATCTAAATGAGAAAATAAAACAGTGAAACCTGTACAATGAAAGCAAAAGACGCAGAGCTGAAGGAGCAGCTATGCAGAAAACTAAGTAAATTAGCGAATTAGATTGGCCAGCAGAAGCACACAACCACACAACGAAAGCACCAAACCACACAACGAAAGCACCAAACCAAAAGCCCAGCGGTGTCTGGCACGAAGGTGCCAATGCCTCCTTGGCCGAATGACAGATTGCCAATGTGCAAGTGTGTTATCCAACATTAGTAGATTGGCCTTGCAATCCAACACAGAATAGCCAATAAATACGAATTAGGACAGTGACCCTCAGATGCACACTAACTGGTCTAACTGTACAGTATCAATATCCCACACTCAGAGTCCACTCAGCTGAGCTTCGTGAAGTCATCAGGAACTCGCTTGCACAGCACGTTGTTGTGTCACCCATAGAGATCCAAGACGACAGTCCAGAGTTGCACTACGGAAAGTAACGCCCTTCAGGCGGGGCCAAGCTGCCAGATTGCGGAGCAAACCCAGCAAGCCGGTGTGAACTTCGCCACACCAGGCACTTCAAGTAGCCAGCAGGACCAAAGGCTGCCATTGATGGCCATGCCGCCCCAGACCACATACGGCATCTCCAAAGAGTAGTTCCCACACAGCTGGTGTGAGCTTCGCATCACCTAGCCAATCATGGGACCAACGACAAAAACTTGGAAAGCCAGTGTACCAGGGTTATAGGCAATTTGATGCCACATATCGAAGACACTGCGTCAGCTAGTAGGCATGTCTCCGGCGCCACTGCTGTCTACTTAAAAGGCTGCTGCACCAAGGGAAGCGCTTGAGGATATCCAAGCAGTGGGTCGGCATCTCACAACACTATAGCTGCTAGAACACCCAGACGCCCACCTCTATGCAGCTGCTAATCGTAGTAGTGCGAAAATCCAACAGGGCCTAATTACAACCCCTAGTCGCGTGCGCTCGCGGATCGAGTCGAATTGGGTCAGCCTCAAACGCGTCGGACGTAAAAACAAAAAACAACCCAAATTCACGACGGCTTCACTGCAATGCTCTCGGTTCCTTTTTCCACACAGGAAACACAAAGGAAACAAGCTGTCTGTCCAGCTACGTTGACTTGCACGTGCAACATGCATAGTTTGGTTTTCTTCTGTTGAAAGGACAGTAGCGGCATGCAAAGAAAATAAACGTTCTTCTCAAACTTCTCATCACCATGTTGGGTGAATTCAACATGTTTGAATTCACCATTGCATTCCAAAATCAACATTGTCCATTTGCATCTCGTTGGCAAATTCCAAAAACGCCCAAAATCATCTTCAAACATTCGCACAGCTTCCAGAAATAACATGCAGCCCGGCAAAACGAAGTTTCAATTGGAGTTGTTGTTGAAAAAAGCATGCACATGTGTTTGAAAAACGACGACTCAAACTCGCCCACATCAAAAGCACTTCTGAATTCATTTGCAGTCCAGATAACATCTGAGGCAAATGAATTCTTTTACCGCTTCTCTCACTGTCAGGACCGAGCCTTAGAGCGAGATCGGCCGCAACAGAGGAAAAAAGAAATCTGAGGCAAATGAATTCTTGCCAAAAACATCATTCTCCTCCACAAAGTTGACGAAATAAAACAGCATGCACCATAAACGCATTCCATGCTTTCGCAACCAATTCCAGACGTTCTCAAACCGTTCTGGTTCAAGTTGGCTTCCATCTATAACAGTTATTTATTTATATAATTTATATACAATAAATAAATAACACAACACATAAAAACATAAACGATCACCCTGCGGTTCTCGAGGCCAAACGCTTTCTCTCTCCTTTTCGACTGCCGATGATAGATCCGATTTCGAAGCAACAAAGATCTGTTTGATCTAAGCCACAAGTTTTATCCCAATGGTCTGATGGTCATACTTTCCCCCATCAGAACCATAGAGATTTAAAGGAAAGAAGGGAATGTTATCCCGAGGAAGTAGAAACGCGTTCGAAACATCGAAGAATGCCAGCGTTCGCTGAGCAAAAAACGAAATGGTCATATTGAATGACTGAAGCGGAATAAACGCTAATGGACGTCATCGCCGAATGACAGAAGGTGAAACTGGTGATCCTGTAAATAGAAACCAAAAACAGACTATAAATCATCCCCAAATATATAAGGTGTGGGAGGGAGGGTTAAAACAAGAAAACAAGCATAAAACGCATGAAAGCCAACTTGAGCCAAAATGTTACCACATTAGTAGATGAAGTCCCACTACCCCAAAACATTAGTGAACAAGTACACTACACGTTCTGGTTCAAGTTGGCTTCCATCTATAACAGTTATTTATTTATATACAATAAATAAATAACACAACACATAAAACATAAACGATCACCCTGCGGTTCTCGAGGCCAAACGCTTTCTCTCTCTTTTTCGACTGCCGATGATAGATCCGATTTCGAAGCAACAAAGATCTGTTTGATCTAAGCCACAAGTTTTATCCCAATGGTCTGATGGTCATACTTTCCCCCATTTTCTATCTGACTGTTGGGATACAAACGCAATTAATACCCCCAATAAAAAGTGTTGGATTCCGGCAGTCGATTAGAAAGAGAGAGAAAAAACAACATTCTACGGAAGTTCCCAGGAGAGAAAGGTTTCAGGCGGATGCAATGAGACGGATGTCTCCGGATGCCAAAGTTGATGGAGAGATATCGGAAAACGGTTGTGCAGTGCATGATTGAATGGTGGGTCACTGACAAAGTCCCAACGGCTCAGCGCGTCAGCTTCTTCATTTCGATCGCCAGAAATATGCGATAGATCCAATTCCATTCCAGAAATTGTGCATAGCAACGTCAACTTTTCCAAAAAGTGGTTCAGGGGAGACTTAGTAGAAAATAATTTGTTGCCACCTGCTTCAGTGCCAGTGTTATCTGTTAACGAAGGAATCCGTAACGGAAATCGGAAGCCAGGAGAGCTGCGACTGAAAATGTACAGAATGGCCATCTGAGCCAGGGTTTCAAAGGAGGCAATACATTTCTGCATTTCTTTGGTAACTGGAATGTCCAGGGCAGCAAAATCATTGAAAGTGAATTTTTCACTGAACCAAATAACTGTGCCCGATGGAAAATAAATAAAGCCCCCAATCTGACATATATCAGAGGAGGCCATGGCATCTGCTGCACAACGACCTGACCAGAGTTGTTTGGGACGTAGACATTTAACCAGTGAGACAGATTGCAGCCAATCCGCATACAGTTGTAGGACTCGATGAGAGTCAGCGCTTAATGATCTGCGAACTGAGGAAGGATCACGAACTCGAAGCCAAGTCCTACGTTCAGATAAATAATTTTGATGTAAATCCGCTTTGCAAGTGACAGCTTGATGTCGAACCGCCAGCAAGGTGCTTCCAATCGGGATGCCTGTGCCCGTGGGAGTTTTGAGAAATTGTAAATTATCATCCAAACAATCAATGACATGTTTCCAGTGTCCTGGATCAATGCTGTAATGGCTGGCAGGAATGTGATATAAATCGCGATACAAAATTGGGAGCCAACATCGCATGAGCAAAAATATTTGTGTGATCCAATTCAGCAGTCCCACTAGTTTCTCAAGGGATTTCTTGGATGTCCGTGAGGATTTCCGCATCAAGGAGATATACTCCCCAAGTTTGTCAACCTTGTTTTGTGGCAAGCTAATGAATCCAGCGGTGATGTGAAATTGCCAACCAATCCATTGAACCCGCGGGCCAAACTCAGTTTTGCGCCAAGAAATAGGAATGCGCAAGACCTGTGCTAAAATACAGCACAGGCTTGACATAATCCAGGCAACCTTTTCAGGAAACAGGAAACAGAAGTCATCAACGTAGATGAATCCAGCGTGTGTCCACCACAGCAGAAAGTGGATGCAGCGTAAAATGAAGCTGCCAACCCGGGTCCAATGATAGGCACTGAAAGTGGCCCCAAATGGGGCCACCTTATAAAAATAGATGGCCCCATCTAAAGTAAATCCCAGGAGTCCGCGGTCAGATTCGCGAATCACCACCAACTTGTGGGCTGATTTGATGTCGAGGGAAAATCCCACCATAGGTTCATTGGAGTTTCTTAAAGGATATACACGCATGACATCCTGAGCACTCGGAAGGGTTGTCTTCTCGGGTATGCTGCACCTGTTGTTGACTCCGCAGATTGATGAGTCAACAACTAATCTTGGCGGCCTGGTGTCGCTTAATGCCAGGCCTAATTTCCCAATGGCAAGTTTGTCACCAAATTCCTGTTGCGCATCTTCCAGAGTGCCATCATATTTATATATCCAGCCCTTTTCCAGTTCTTGGAAGACAAGGTTTCTTGTAGTAGGCAAATCAGATTCTGCAGACTGCCAGTTGGTTGAGTGTACTGACAGCGGTACATTTTCATCGCTCTTATCTTCCGTTTGTGGAAAACAACCAGAAGCAGGAATATTGCCATCGAAACCAGTTGGGGCCCCTGCCAGTAACATGGGAAATAATGTTGTATCTCGATCATCCAAAATACGAGATAATGCCGCCATGATCGAAAGCTGCATGGGTTGATCCGCTCTGATTGACCAATCGGGAACCAGTCCATGAGATTGGATAAATTCAGTCAAGGTGTTTTTAAATGGGATCAAATCCTCTTCTGTAAAAGGTGGTTGAGCATCCCCTGAATTGAAAAAGGATTTCATTTTTTGAATCAAACCGTTATCTAACAATAGTTTCACCCATTGCCTGCGAAGAGCTTGAAATGTGTCTGGGACAGCTCGAAAAGGTCGACTCCAGTCGGGTTCAGAAAATAAACCGCCACCATCTTCATAGCTCACCGGCAGATCACTCAGTTGTTTGATGGGAATATATTGTTGCACTGACGATAAATCCAAAAGTTGTCCAGAAGCCGGAGAGCAGAGTGGTGATATGATGTCCGCTATGGCAGAACACATCTCAGATGGATATTCAGCCGTTGCTCGACTTTTGTAAGATCCGTCTGGATTCCGTGCTCCTGCAATTTGCTCGTGGGTGCCCGGAGGATGGCCACACACTTTACCCAGGGATTTCATGGCTGGGTATGTACATGCAAGAAGCCAGCTTTTGTACCAGTTACGATTGTAAGCACAGGCAGGAAAATTAACCAAAAATAGAGCACAGAATTTGATGAATCGTCGTACCAGTGGTTCAAGCCAAGCCATGGAATTGGTGGGTTGCTCCAGGTGTCCGTGACCTCCTGCTGCAAAAATTAACTCCAAACACAAGACGCTGCGTGCCATCAAGGTATGGCTGGATTGAATCTTCTCCAAATCAGAAGGGCATAAGTTTGGTATGCCGTCCAAAAATTGTGGTGTGCGCAACGCTGGAGGTCCGCCTGGTTGAAGCTTAAGACGGCTGTACTCACCACAATTCGGTGCTGCCGCACCATACCCTACGAGTCCAGAAGCACAGATGCGTAGTAAAGGTTCAAAGAAAGTATTATCCAAAAGATCCATTTTGGCATCGATCAGCTTATCCACCGGGAAACATTTGCATCCACGATTGAGCATGGCTGATGTCAGTGGGTAGCCCGCTCCTGCACAGATATCCAGAAAAATTCTGGATCCTTCAAGTGATGAAACATCCACAGAGGTTTGAACCGAATGCGGAATTGACAAGGGAGGATGTGAAACTGCTGGATCTGTCGAATGGTCAACCATTGTTGAATCCTCGAGGACATCGTCCGGCGATCCAATCTGTACCAGGGGCTGGTCTGCTGTATGTGAAACCACTGATGCCTCCGCATTGTCATCCAAGAGTCAGTGAGGTTGTTGCTGATGATCAAAAGCACTGTGTGGCTGTCCACACGCCTGCCCGGATGATAATGGATGGGCACACAGGTGACTGAACTTGCAAGTGTCACCCTTTTGACACTTCCCGGATTGGTATTGCATGCAAAGCTGATGTCGTTTTCCTTGAACAGTGGCTTCGGTGACCCAAGTAGGACGAGAAGTGGTGTCGCCCTTTTTTCCGCCCTGTTTTGACTTCCCTTTGGATTTCCCACGACCTTTGGCAGAAACTGGGGCCGCCGCAGAGCTGGATGTGGAAGTTGGACGAACTGATATCTTCGGCCGAGGTTGGAGTAGAGAAGCCATATCTGATCGCAGGTGGGTCACCTCATGCAAAGCATTATCCAACGTAAATTTCTGGTCGATCACCAAGTCATGAATCATCTGCCATAGGGCTTTGTCAGCTGCTTGCGATTCCAGGACGTTCGGTGGCCTGAGTCCAGAATCGGAGTCCAGGCGTTGTGTCAGGAACCCCATAAATTTCAATGTGTAGGCCCGAAGTCGTTGCAAATGACAAGCCCCTACCAGAGCTAACGCAGTGTTGTGCACCTCCAGCATGTTTCTGATGGCGTTCACGCCCATACCTTGATTGTTGATGTCCAAAGATGGAGGCTCGTCCCAAATTAATTGATGGAGTTGAAGACCTTCAATTTTTGGGATCTTTGGGCGTTGATAAATGACCATATCTTCCATTCTGGATTGTGTCATTCTGAACTTCCAGGGAATCCACCGGTATTCCTGTTTGGAATGCTGATGATGTGCAAGCGATAATAACCTTGTCGATGGCATGGTCTCCATCGTAAGAACTTCACTAGGGTAATCTTCCAAAAATTGCTTCTTGAGTTTTGAAACTGTTGAGGACTGAATCTTGGGAGCAAACGACTCCGCCCAAGAACCCTCTTGCGAGACACTCGCTGATGGTGCTGCCGCTCGTAGACACAGTCTCCGGTTGAAGACGCTGCCAAGCCACTTTCAAGTTTGCACGCTGAACCAGGGGAATCGGTTGATCTGAGAGTTCAGCCCAGATATCATCTGTAAATCCTGCTTTGGAATCCACTACTGCTGCAAAGTTTTGTGAGTTCCAGCCACCTGAAATCAAATGAGACGATAAGGCAGGATCAACGCCATTCTCTGCCAAATGATCTTCAAGATCGGGCAAAGCCATGCACCCCCCAAGAGGAAGGTCGAAACGCAAGCTAACGCAAAGTAAAATAAAATAGCATGACTCAATTTGATGTCTGTGAACCCCCGGAATTATCTGACAGTTCAAGTTGTTGACATGAACACATTTATGAATTCAAAGTGATAGGTGATGAGTGGAAATAAAATTTGACATTATTAAAGTCTTTTTTGGTTTTTTCTGTTTGGGCTTGAACCGTTAAGTCACGCCGAAGAAAAATTCTTGCCTGACAGGGATGCCGTGCTTTGTGCAACAATCTTGAACTGTGATAAAGGTGGTGACATGCACTGAATCATGCTGAGTCGGCTGCCGCAGGTTTTTTGACCATTGATGGAGGGAGTTTATCACTCTCCTAAAGCTGATACCTGTTGCCATCTTTTGAAGCAAGCTGCATGTCGACACATACCAAATGTCGGACTGAGCTGCGTGTCAAACACGCAAGTGTCACGGGGCAGTCTGGCTCCGCATGCTGCACGAAAATGTTGGTCATTCCATTTTGGTTGACAGCGATCATCTGTCACAAGCATCATATGTTGAATCCTGGTAACTCGAGCAACAACCAATTCCTCTGCGTCACCAAGAGTGACTTCTTCAGTATCTGAGCCAGAAGCGGAAGATGAGGATGAGCTGCTCGAGGATCCTGATGATTCCACTGACTCCGATATTGCCTGAGGAGCCGTGGTTGGTTCATGCGAAGCTGGAATCCCTTCCAAAATTGGGTCAGTCGTGGCATTGTTGAATTCGAAAAACTTCCAGTTGTATCTTTGATACCCTTTTTTGAAACGCTCCAGCTGCACTGCCGGTTCCTGGATTGGTCTCTGAGAACCTCTGTGAAGAGGTGTCACAAACCTGTGACCAGATTGAACCTGCTGTATCAGGGTATCCTGTAGCGCCAACTGACCTGCTGTGTCATCCCGTGAGTAAAGCCGCATGCTACCTTGACGATGATGACCCTGTAAATGACGCTGTTCTTCTGTAACCAAACCTTTTTGTGCCAACTGATTTGACCAACTCAATGTGGTGGTCTTCAATGAATGCAAGGTGTAGTCAGTAGGGTTGGCTGAGGCTGGCACTACTGAATTCTTCCAGGGAAGTGTGCAAAAATATCGAAGCCAGTGCAAAGCTTGAGAGTATGGCATGGGCACCAATGGACATGAGAATCCTTCTCCGTGCGTCATAGGCAGCAAAAAATCACATTCTGATGGGGTGTCATGCGGATAAGACCAAATGATGTCCAATGACATGAGCCACTGCGCAACCCAAGACCAACTGCCGTGTGAAAGGAATCCACGTGCCTGGATAGCCCAAGGTTGTCCTGATCTTGAAGTTTTTGTCCGATAACATGAACCTCGCAATGCAGTGATGCACCATGACAATGACTTCAATGAAACGCGTTGTCCGTCAGCAAAACGAAGGCCACCCCATAATAAGCAAAGGAAACCGCCCAATATCACCTGTTCTTGGACTGAGCATTCCTTCATAAGGAGGCGTCTTTCCCACTGCACTACCAGAAACAGACTCAAAGGAATTGATTCACGTCGTTCATGATTACCTGGATTGAAAAAGGAGTTGACAATCGGGTCATACAAGCTTTGCCATTCTGATATCATCAAAAGTTTCTGAGCCCATCGCAAAGCCTTAATGGCTGTGGAGGCACCAAAACCCCATTCGGAGTGTTTCCCTTCATGAGCGATTTGCAGCAAATCTGACAAACGATGGCATCCAATGTCCTTCCAAGTCCAGGCAAAGTCCAATAAAAAGCTGTAAATGCACTGCAATGTGTTGATGTATTTGAACAAGGTAGAAGGTGCATATTTTTCCAGTAACCGTTGACAATGCGCCTCAAACTGAGGGGATTGATGATATTCCTGCCAAATAGATGACAAACTGCCCACACTGTTGATGAGAATCATCCAACGTGCAATCAAATCTCTTGGAATGTTGGAGGCCCGTGCCATCAGTGAACCTGCTTTGCATCCACGTGGTGCTGAGACATGTCGAGAAGACTTAGGTTTACTGCTATCTTGTGGATCTGTACTGGAGCGTCCACTGTTAGCTCAGGACCCCACTGTCGCGCTGTCGGCATTGGAGGAGTCGTCAAAGAAACTGGTCTGAAAAATTCAGGTGCCGGTCGACCTCCTCGTTTAAGAGGTTGTTCAAGACTGGTAGCCCTTCTACAAACTGGAGTTGGAATAGCTTTGGGGGCACTTCGTTTCTTTGGAGTAGGTGCTGAAACCAGAATCCAGTCATCTGTAATGCCGTCAACATCCATGGAAAACAAACTTCAAGATGTATCTGAGGCCGGAGACTGAGCTAAACTCGGAGTGTCCACTGTTCGGAAGGTCACACAAGGCCGATATACTGAAATGCAAGCAATGCTGAAATGGTACAGATCCAGATTCAAAGGTCCATGGACTGGAGGTTCAAAAGGCCAATAGTCCAGTGGTGGAATGTACAGAAAAGCAAAAATGATTGTGCGAAGCTCTGCAAACTGAATTGATTGGTCAGTGAAAATCAACTGAAAATTTCGATGGCCCACCACCGCTGGCCGAATCATGAAGCGCCCCACACGCCCGAGAGTGCCAACTAATGAATTGACATGAAATGTTGTACTGTGAAATGAAACAAGTGAAGAAATCTTGCAATGAAAGAACGCAAAAAAGCTAAACCGTGTTGCTGAATGTTGAAGCTGAGAAAACATGAAGCACTTAAAACAAGAAAACAAGCATAAAACGCATGAAAGCCAACTTGAGCCAAAATGTTACCACATTAGTAGATGAAGTCCCACTACCCCAAACCATTAGTGAACAAGTACACTACACATTCTGCATCACCAGCGCTGTGTACAAATAAACCATCAAGAACATGATGTTGTGGCCACCTTACCACTTTCATGCACGAAACGTAGCACATGCGAGCAACATGCACGGGAGTGTAAATTTCCACACCCCTTTTGCTGCGCTTTCCATCCATCCAAATACAGCCAAATTCCAGTGAAGTCACCAAAGACTGCATGTTGTGGTGCGATGGAGGCATCTTTTTTTGACAGCTCCGTCCAAATGGAATGGCCATCCTACTGGCATTAGCGAGTCTTCAAGGCATCCGTCTCCATTCTGCTCGATGACTGTGCCTAAGAAGAGACGCATCTATGGTGTCTTGAGGTTGATATGTGGGCGATGTTTCTGGCGCTAGGAGGCCTCGCTTGGCAACTTCTTCTCGTCTTCGAGAATTTGGGTGCAGAGGAGGCCCGCACATGCGAAGCCTGATTTCGATTGACTTTCCGGCCCCAGAAATGGAACCTGAAAGCGCACAGGTGGTATCAGCTGTGTCCGTTCCCTAGCTCCAATGCGGCGATTGCAATGCAGCACCACCCAGGCAACATTCACCAATCCGTCGCTATTCCGCGCTACTCCGCTACTCCGTGGTATGTTTTAATTCAATTATCCAATGTAATTGACACGATATCGAAACGATTTTCAATACTTCACCTTCCCACATCTTTCCCTAGGCAGATTCTCACTCCATCCCGTTTTAAATTAATACTTTAATATAACGGGATTGACTGAAAAGATAACAACTCATGTTCTTTCTGGACTGCAAACTTCGGTAGGAGTCTAGAGGGGCAAGGGGCGCCAACAAGGGGCAGTAAAGTATTCAATACAATCATTAAATGGAAGCCGACCTTCGCGAAAACCCAGAAACTCCGCAACAGCAAGAAACACTTCAAGCAATCACCTAAGGCTGCAAAAGGCTGATGCGCCTTCTTTTCTTAGCAGCAAACAATCAAGCCACCAGACGAAACCAAATAATAAAAAGCTACTTTCAACTGGGTCTAAGCAGCAACCGATATGCACCCCGCTTGCCCCAACAAGAAACCAAATCATCTACAAAACAGCTTCCTCCAACGGTGTTTCTTCAATCGAGACGCTTCGAGACTTGGCGAGGCCTGGCCAAGGCGGTCTTCCATTTCCGACATTCATATCCGTCTCAGGACCGTGCATGGACAGCTAGCTGCGGATCGACTCCCCCCGATGGTCTTCCACGAAGGACGAGATTTGGTGTCATTCTTGAGAGTGATCAGCTCTTGATCATCGTTGTCCGTCCATGGACGGTATGTTGTGTCAGTGGGAGGCCGAGCGGTTTCTGTGGGTTGGAGAATACGAATGGTGGGATTTGGAGTAGGACTAATGGCATGGATGTGCCTGGTGGAGTTAGTGGAAGTGGTGGATGGTCGATATGGACAGATGAAAAGCAGAGCAGGGAAGAGGCAGAGAGAAGAGAAAGATCAGAAGAAAGAAGAGTAGAAGAGAAAGAGTCAGAAGAAAGAAGATGCAGATGCGCGAAAAGGTAGGAAAGTCGCGATGCACTGTGTTTTTCCAATGATTTGTGGCTCCGGAGGGTCGACAAGTAGGCTCGCTAAAGCGGCGGGTGCGGAGCCAGCTGGCCAGATTAGAGATGAAAAATTGCACGCCGTTGTGGTGCGAAGCACATTTCCAAGTCAAAATGTACAAAGCACACCAGCTCCGGACCACTTTTACTAGTTGAGATGTCGAAAAAGTGCACGCCGTTGTGGCGCGAAGCACATTTCGAAGTCAAAATGTGTCGAAAAAGTGCACGTCGTTGTGGCGCGAAGCACATTTCGAAGTCAAAATGTACAAAACACTTGGGGTTCGGACCTCTTTTGGAGGTTCCGATGTCGCTTCGCTTCGCTTCGGGTCACTACACTACACTATACACTCCACTAAACTACAGTACATTGCACTACACTACACCCCACAACACTACAGCTACAGCTACAACTACACAACTACACCCCACTACACTCCACTACACTCCACTACACTAAATTACACTATACTACACCACATTGCACTACACTCCAGTACACTACGTTACACTAGACTACACACTCCACTACACTACACTATACACTCCACTACACTACTGTACATTACATTACACTACACTCCACAACACTGCAACTA